TATTATTATTATTATTATTATTATTATTATTATTATTATTATTATTATTAAATATTTAGTGAGATTCAGAGCCTTTGTGGCTGGTTGGTAGCTCAACAGCTCGAGTCCTAACCAAGGACCTAGGAGTTGCTCAGGTAGCATCGGAGGATATAAGCTGTTCCAAGCAGGGTGGTTTTTTGTAGAATCAGGGTGTTCAAGTCTGATAAATTCAGGATTTCCAAATAGTGAGGCAGCCCTTTAGCTATTGCTCTAAGGGCTCCAATTACAGTTGGGATAACACAAGATTTCTTTTTCCAAAGTTGCTCAACTTCAATTTGTAAGTCCCGATACTTTGTGATTTTTTCTTGCTGCGTGTCTACAATTTGTGCATCACCAGGTATTGCAATGTCAATGAACCAAACCTTTTTCTTTTCAACCATCGTTATGTCAGGTGTGTTGTGGGCCAAGTGCCTGTCAGTCTGAATTCTGAAGTCCCACAAGATCTTGACCTTTTCATTCTCCAGAACCTTCTCAACCTGATGTTCCCAGTAGTTGTTACTATACTCAAATCCAACCTTTTGGCACAGTTTCCAGTGGATGATTTTAGCAACTCAGTTATGGCGTTCTAGGTAGTCAGTCTTGCTGCACCCACTGATTAAATGGTCACTGTTTCATCTTTCTCATTACAAAGGCAGAATTATTGTTATTATTGCTATTGTTGTTATTAGTATCATTATCATTATCATTATCATTATCATTGATTTAATCACACTTACAATGACAGTCGAGGACCAAATTTCCATTGCTAAACAAGACAGTTGTTAAGTGAGTTTTGCCTCATTTTACGACCTTTTTGGCGCCATTGTTAAGAGAACCGCTGCAGATGTTACGCTCGTAACATGTTCAGTGAATCTGGTTTCCCAGATTCTTCGAACGGTCACTAAAATGGATGGTTGTAACTCATATAACTAACAGGCAGGTAAGCCTTGACTTATGACCACAATTGAGTCCAAAACTTCTGTTGTTAAGCAAGGCATTTGTTTTATTCCATTTTGTGGCATTTGTTGCCACTGTTCTTAAGTGAATCCTTGAGGTTGCTAACTTAGCAATATGGTTGTTAAGCTTCTCCGTTGAGTTTGCTCATTAGGAGGTCACCAAAGGGGGATCACGTGACCCCGGGAGACTGCAACAGTCATAAGTACATGCCAGTTGCCAAGTGTTGTGGCCTGTCCCTCCATCAGCCGAATCAGAGGAGGAGGAGGAGTGAGAGTCAAGGTCAGCATCAAGACAACCTGAGAGCTGCGAGGGGGGAGAGGGAATGGAGCTGGCAGAGAGAGGGGGGGTGGAGCCTGGACTGTCCATCAGCCCTCAGATGGAGCTTCAAGAGCCCCCAGGTCTGGAGGTGGCTGATGAGGAAGAGGAGGAACATCTGGGTCCAGTGCCTGGATGCCCAGATTGTAGAGGAGAGGAGAGCAGTGGAAATCTATGAGCCGGTCCTTGGGACAGAAGACCCACCACTGCTAGCGAAACCCCACCCTAGCTCTGGGGATAAAAGGCAGGGGGCGGAGATGAATAGACGTGACAGACAACTATTCCTCTTCAGGCCGGATGGATTTGTAAGCCTGCAGTGAGAGAGAAATTTTCCTAATAAATGTAGGTGTTCCTCAATTGCTTCAACTACCGAGGGTTTCTCACGTTTGGGGAGCCGGCTCAGAACACCAAGCCTCTGAATTTTGATCCCGTGATCACTGCAACAGGTGTAAGGGTGAAAAACGGTCACAAGTCACTTCTCCCCCCCCCAATACGGTTGTAACTTCAACTGTCACTAAATGAATGCTTGTAAGTCAAGGACTACCCATATATAATTAACATACGGTACATACACCTACATATATAATAGCTGTAGTTTTGTAAGGTGGGAGGGGAGCAAATATTTTCCATGGGTTGAATTGGGCGGGTGGGAGGGTATTGCTGGCTGGTCTCCTTAAACCTCCCCCCCCCCCAAGACTTGGAGGAAGTGTCTAGAGATGCATTTCAGATACCTCCTGAACCCTCCCATGCCAATCTCACAACGGTCCACAATGAGGGTCTTTTTTATCCAAATAGGGGGAAATTTCTATCCTATTTAATCCCTGGACAATTAATTGAGGGTGTCAAAATTGGCAGATGTCCATCACGGCTCATCACACAGCCCATTACCCAGATCGTTACAACACAGGAGGCTGATGGACACACAGCCAGTAACTCAGCCACACATGTTCTTACGAAAAAGCCAACCAACCTGCAAACTTCAACTCCATCAACCAATCAAGAAATAACAACACAGCCAACCAGCCCGCTTACAACAGAGCCAGCACACCACACCTCCCCGTTAGTATTTAATAGAAAGATGACAGCTCTGATCACGCTTGGCTCACACAAGCATGAAGCCAAAAGCACCAGCCTGAAGATGGCAAGTGGGACCTCGTCGAAACATTGCCAAGATACTCTCAATCTTACACGGGGAAAAAAAAACCCGAACACCTGGGATCTGGGGTCAAATTGTGCATCCTCTTATTCCTTTGGGACGCAGAACTAGACAGGTGGATACTTTTCACGGCTGGATAAAATTTAGTTGAGTTTTTTTCTTTCTTTCTTTCTTTCTTTCTTTCTTTCTTTTTCTCCCCCCTTGAACAAAGTCCGGGATTTTCTGCTGCTTTCAATCATCTTCCACCCAGTGGATGAAAGCGTTTTCATAATTTCATCCCTCTCTCTATTAGCTCTGCATTTTATACTTTATTGGATTCCCTTTGCTCATTCGGCCCAGAGGTGAGCTTCAAACATTTTAGCAACGGGTTTTCTCCGTCTGGTTGCTGGGTGGGCGTAGCCATGGTGGGGTGTGGCCTAGTTGGCCCCTTGCACCACGGCGGGGGGGGGGGGGGGGGTCTGGCCGCCCCGGGGCCCGGGGGGGGGGGGGGGGGGGCGTTTTTGCTCTCCCCGGGGTCCCGAGGCTTTCTTGGAGCCTCCGGGACGGCGAAAACAGCCTCCCCGGGCTCCAGAGGCTCTTTGGAAACCGGAAACGGGCTCGTTTCCAGCCTTCCCGAAC